CACCCCCCCCCCCCCCCCTGCCTCCTCCTCAACCAACTCCTGCTTCACCGCTGCCTGCCTCCTCTCCCTCCCCCCCACCTGCCTGCCCGCCCGCAGCTGCGCCAGATTGCGCCCGAGTACTACAACAACCTGTACGCCCACACCAGCTGGTGCTGGGTGCTGTGGCGCTTCCTGGTGGACCCGGCCATGGGCCCCTGGAGCCGCATGCACCGCGTAATGCGCGAGGGCACCCCCGCCGCCAACGACAAGTTCATCGGCAGCATGTGCAAGACGGCGGCGGAGACGGGCGCCTGGGAGGCGGCGCGCTCGGCAGAGGTGCTGGACAAGGGCGGCGCCTCGGCGCTGCAGGTGCGTGGCGGCGCCCGCGGGGAGGCAGGGTGGGCAGCTGGCGGGCGGGTGGCTGGTGGGAGGCCCCGCACTCAGGCAGGGTGCTGGCACCGGACTGTTTGTTGGGCTGGTGCTGCTGCACCGTACGCCACCGTGCCGCTGCTGTGTGCACGTCGCGCCGCTTCTTCGCTGCTGCAGGCGGCCATGGGCGGCAAGTCGGCTGGGCGGCTGATCCGCAAGGCAAACAGCGAGAACGAGCCCCAGAACTGAGCGCAGCGTTGTACTGGCACGGCGGAAGTGGCCTGGGGGGCGGTGCAGAGGCCCCTTTGGTTGCTATCTGCTGGCGGCGAGCCATCGCTGCTGTGCCGGCCGCTGCCTGCTGCCCACGCAGCTGGCTGGATGCCGACATGCCGTGTCTACATGACGAAATGCCTTCTTCCACCCCTTCTCTCCAATCGTCCCTCTTTTCATTCCAGCACTGTGGGCAGGCCCCTGGGGCTCCAGGCGGCCTGCAAGTTCCTCCCTCGCTCCACCCCTGCTCCATGCTTTACCTCAACATCACCGCCGGTATTTGCTCCCCGCTTGGATACACTCGGCCGCCTCTGATTTAGCTAGCTCCTGGCTGGGGCCTCCTCGCCGGGGCCATCCAGCTGGAGTGGGGCAGCCATTCCATCTAGCCGTACCTTTTTGTTAGACCAAGCCTACGATTACATTCATCCCAACAGTGGCACATCCAGCATGCATGCTGCGGTATTGCATGGCGGCGAGCGTAATTAAGAGTGGTTGGGTGCCCTGCCCCGAGCGCTACGACTGGCCTGCACTCCTCACGCCAGCCACTCGCGCGTCTTGAGCCCTTGGTAGATTGCACTCAGGGCACCTGTAAGGGCCATCAATCCAGCTGGCCACACCTGGGTGGAGGCAGGGCCAGCAGGTCTTGGCGTCGGGGAAATGTGTTGAGGAGAGGGCAATTGATTCAGGCAACCCACTGCAGCCTGCCCACCTTGTGTGTCCTGGCGTAGCGGGGTGCCATGGCGCTCACTAGCGCTAGCGAGGCTGCTAGCGACAGCGGGTGGCCGACGTCTGGCCGCCCTCTCTGATGGCGTCGATGAAGGAGGCAGATGTTGTTTTGAAGGGGTGTGGGCAGAATGTGCTGCAAGTCCTGATCATGCCGGCAGCACACTCACATTGATTTGAAAGCCCCCCGCACCAAACAGCGCGGCGATGCCCAGCCCCGCCACAAGCGACGGCATTGACCGCCTCGTGGCGTAGCCGCTGATTCCACCTGCGGCCACCAGCGCTGCCATCGTGAAGGCGGCGTGGCTGCTCCCTGTGGGCCGGTCCATCCCTCCCCCCTTGGTTTGGGAACCGAAGCTGACCACGGCGGAGGTAGCACGCAAACAAGCCTCACGCCCTTTCGATCCTCAACAGATTGGCCTGCAGTGGCGGCTTGCTGCGTTGCAGCGATGGGTGGAACGATCTCTGTGGCGCCGCTCTGGCCTGCGCTGGCGGGCGCCACCTCGCTGGAGGCGCAACTCTAATGAGTGAGCCCGTCAGTGGCAACACGTTGTGTTCTCATTATTTTTACAAATGCACAGATTCGATCCTCACAAAGAGAGGGAAGGGATGGCAGGGTGATGATGGGAGGCTTTCAAGTACTTTGGCCAACCCGAGTCAAAGGTTGCAGTAGGGTGTGTCAGCACAGCTAAGGAATTGCAAGGCGGTAAGCATGACGCTGGCGGGGGGGCAGGAGGCCGGAGTGCATGCTTGCCGTCTTGAAGCAGCAAGTCATATGAGGGTCGGGGGGGCGCGAGGAGGGGTACGACGGCAGGATGGACGGGGGAAACAAGGTTGCAGGGAGCGCTAGGCTGGCACATGCAGGAATCAAATCGCAGAATGTGTGTGTTGTGAGAGGGGCACGTGGGATAGGCGAGGGCCAGCTGCCTGGTTCGTTCAGTCAATCAAAGTTGGGCAGGCTCTGCTCCTTATGCGGATTGTCGCAGCGCCCCTTCACCTTCTTGCCGTTGACCGCCTCAAACACAAACTCCGCCGGGCCGTCTGCCAGCGGTGCAGCGTGCACCCAGAACTGCAGGCGTGGAGGCAGGCTGAGCGAGCGTTTGAGCCAAGCTTCCAAGCCTCTCGGCTTGCCCCAGCTGTGGACTACATCCTGCCACCACACAGGGCCCTGCACCCCCCACCTGGAACTCGTTGCGGTCCAGTGGCTTGCCATTCAGCGTCACCGACTTGAGCGGGTACTTGGCGTTGGAGAAGTAGAAGGCCTGCCACTGGGCGTTGATGCCGTCCTGCACAGGGCAGCGCATGTGGTGTTGTGGAGCGGTGCGAGGCGGTGAGTGGCAAGGCAAGGCGAGGCAGGCAGGCTATCCCGCAGCCCCGCGCCACCCCTCCCGCCCCGCCACCCACCTTGGGCGCCAGGTGGATGTCTCCCTCGATGTTGGAGGAGCAGTCGCTCCACTCCCACTGGATGGCCAGGCGGTGGGGCCACATGCCGGTGATGTCGCGGTACACAGGGATGGAGAAGTCGACGTCGCCTGCAGGATTTGGGGAGGTTTTGGGGAGGTGAAGAGGCAGGGGGGGTGAGAAGGAGAGTGGAGAGGAGGCGAGCAAGGTGCAGGGCAAGGGAGGTTGTGAGGGCGGCTCGAGGGTTGCCACAGCCACCCAATCAAGCAGCACCCCCTCACCTTCCTTGCACTCTGGGCACAGGTCCGTGACCATGACCTGCACACGCTTGTTGCGGGTGGCGCAGCGCTCGTCCACGCACCAGGCGGTGAGGCAGCGGGCGCACGCGTCGCCATTCTCCCACTGCACAAGGCAGGGAGGCATGGGTGTCAGCCTCGCATCCTGGCAGTTGTGGCAGCACGGTGCAGTACGCTCCTGCCCGACACCACACCTCCTGCTCCAGCCTGGCGCCCCTGCCTGCCCCCGGCCGCGCACCATGGGGCGGTTGATGGCGGCAAAGTGGGTGGAGGCCCAGTCGTTGAGGTAGCGGTAGGAGCAGGCAAAGCCCTTGCCGGTGTTGGGCACAGCCTCGCTGAAGGCAGTTCCGTCGCCCGAGAACAGGACAGACGGCAGCCAGGGCACGGGGCCCGCACCGGTGGCAGCGCTGGCGGCAGCAGCGGCCACGGCGCCCAGCCCAAAGCTGTGTTGGCCGTCAAAGGCGGTGACGTTGGGCTGCAGAACAGGCAGCCAGCACACAGGTTGTTAGCGTTGAGAGGCGTTGACCTCGCCGCCAGCGTCGAACCCAGCTGTTGCACACCGGCTGTCGCACGCCGGCTGCTGGCGCACCTCGGCGGCGGGGCCCCCAACGCTCTGCTCGCTCGAGGGGGCGCTGCCCTGCTGTTTCTGGCCCAGGAAGCGGGCGCGGCTGGCTGCCTGGGCCTGGCCGGCCACAGCCAGCAGCAGCAGCAGGCTGCACAGGACTGCTGTTGGACGGGAAGAGAGCATGATGATGGCTTGAACACACAGAGAACAGGAGAATAATTAGCTGGCGAGACTCCACCCCACGAACCCAAAGTCAGGCCCGTCTGCCTGTCTTCCGCCCTTTCCTCCACACCTTGCATCAGCCCATGCAGCAGCCGCAGGCAGCATTATCATGCCCTGGAGCAGCTGGAAGGCCTGTGGGGAGCTGGAAGGGCCTGTGTAGGAAGCTGGAAGGTTGGGGCACAGGCAGGCGGGCCACCCACACGGCATACAAGGTTGGCCGCTGCCAGCAGCGGGCCATCTGTGTGAGCGCTTCAACATCATTGCTGCACCGGCCGCTTCAACATCCTCACGGTTGCACCGGCACCCAAACCTGGGAGGGCTGTGGCTCCCAGGGCATTGCACCGCGCCATCGAGAGGACGCGGCGGCGGCAGAGGTGCCAAGTTGGGCCGTCCATGCGGCACCCTCGTTGTTTTGCAGCTGACAGCATCTTCAATGTGATTACACCAGATGGACATGGAACAATACGTTTTCAGGTGTGACGAAGACGGCAGGCGGAAAGCAGGCCGTACGTGCAAGGCATGGATGCCTGCACAGCTTCAGCGCCTTGCCGGCACAGCGCGAACTGGGGCGCCGCCGCCGCCACGCTGAGCCTGGTTGCCACCACCCAGCAGGTTCATGAGCTGCAGAAGGCGGGGCAGCAGCAACAGGCCATGAGCATGGGACTGGCAGCGAGCATGCACTTGATGTAGGGCTGCTGTTTGCCTGCTCCCCTATCAAAGCTGCTTGCACAGCGTGCGCGAATGGCCCCCGCATCGAGCCGGACGGGTAGGGCAGCCAGCCGACGGGCCTCACTCACAATGAATCCCAGCGGCATCACCAGCATCCAGTTCTTCTGCAACCACGTCTTCTCCTCCTCCTTGACCTGCCCCTTGCCCGCCGCCTTGCCCTGGACCTGTTGCCCCTGCGCCGGCGCCCGCTGCTCCTGGCCCGCCGCCTGCTGTGCCTGGCCCTGCGCCTGCTGCCTGGCAGCACCAGCTTGCAGATCAGCTGTTCCAGTCGCGGCGGCCGCCGCAGCCGCACCCTGCTGCCCAGGCACCACCAGCTGCAGCACATCGGGCGCCTCCAGTGGCAGGCGCAGGTGCAGTGCCTGCGAGCTGGGCAGCATGCCGGCTGCTGCTGCGGGGGCTTCGCGAGTGCAGGGCACGCTGACTGCGATGCCAGCAACGTGCCTGGCATCCAGCAGGTCCAGAGCCAGGCCGCCATCGGCGGCGGCTGCCGCCAAGCAGCGCGCCGGGAACGAGGTGCTGACTGGCTGAGAGGCAGATGATGAGCCAGCCAGGGCAGAAGGCAGGCGCAGGCGGTACAGCCCGTTGCTGGCTATCAGCTGGCTCAGCTGCTCCTGCTGCTCAGCGGAGAGCGGGGGCCGCTCCAGCACGGCGGTGGCGCCATGCCGCTGCGGAGGGTGGCAGGCACGCGACACGGCTTGAGTGCCAGGCCAAGGGGAACGCGGCAGGCAATGGAGGGGAGCGCACGCAGCCAGCAGGGCGCACCACGGCGCCCAGGGTGATGGAGCCTGCCGGCACGAAGGACTTGCCGCCGTCCAGGCTGTGCTCAACGGCGATCGAGGCGGCTGATGCCCCGCCGGCTACCAGCAGCACCAGCCACAAACACGGGCGTGCCATCAACCTCATGCTTGCCTGCGCTGTGGCTGTCAATCAGTTGAAGGAGAAGGTGTACAGAGGGAGAACCCAAAGGACGGTGGGTGGGCAACAGATTAGACGCTGCCTGCGCAGGCTTGACATGGCGCCACGCCGTCGGCGGCTGCCGACAGCGGCTGCCGGAAGCTGCTCTCCATCGAGATGCTGGTTGTGATATGCCACGCTTTACAGCAACGCTTCGAATGCTAAGGCCACAGCAAGCTCAGGGCCACAAAGGGGAGGCAGATGCGCTGCTCCGCCACCAAAAGGGGCCGGCAAGCAGGCAGCAGTAGGATCAGATGAAATGCGGGTAGGCAGTACCAGGAAGTATATGTACTGCAGGAGCGGGGACAACAGCAGTCCCGTACCCGCAGGGCTAGCCAACGTCCCAACACAACCCAGGCAGCCGAAACAGGGAGGGGAAGAAATCGCGCAGCGGCGCCAATGCGGACGCGTGGCTTAGTGAGCAGGAGAGCAGGGGCAGCAATCATTCACAGAGTCTGACAACAGAGCCCTGACACAGAAGACGGGCCAGAAGCAGAGTGGCCTGCTTGGGGGGCCGAGCAGCCTCGGAGCCGAGGGGCGACGAGGGGCAGGCAGGGATGGCACATTGGAACAGCAGCTGAAGCAGGCAAGGCTGGGGCACAGGCGCCTGGGGCATAGCCCTGACCTCAGCTTGAGACTGGGGTGCAAAGCGCTTGCTCATGCACCGGGCCGGAGCTTCCACACGCGGTGTCGCACCAGCGTGAGGGCGGTGCGCTCACACCTTCACCTCGCGGTTGAAGATCCAGCTGAACTGCACGCGCGCGGGCTGCGCCTTGGACTTGCGGGCCGCTGCCCGCTCACTCAGCTTGCGGAAGCGGGTGGGCAGCTTCATCAGGTACTCCTGCGGCAGGGAGGGCCGGGGGGTGGAGGGGCGGGCAGGGAGGGCTGGTGAGGGTGGAGGGCTAGCAGGCGGGCTGCGTGCCCGGCGCGCACGGCGCGCATGCCGCGCGGGCAGGCGAACCTGGGCCTCTGCCGCCTCCCCGCGCAGGCCCTCGCGGTGCTCAATGTCCCAGCGCGCCACCAGGTGCTCCATGATGTCGCAGTAGTCGCTGGCCTGGTAGACTGCGGGGCGGGGCAGAGGGGTGGGGGGGACGAGAGAGGCAGGGCAGGGCAGTGGGCAGTGGGCAGGGTGCGGCAGCTTGCGCCGTCTGCGACGGGGGCGGCCCGCAGTGCTGCTGCTGGAGCGAGGCGCCGGCAGGAGCGAGGCGCCGGCAGCAGCAGCAGCACAGCCTGGCGCAGGCGCAGAGGGGTGGGGCCCGCTCACCGCCGAGGCGCTCCGCCACCTCGGAGAAGTCGGTGAACAGGTTGCGGCCGCCGTTGAGGATGCCGTGCTTGCCGTCGTCCATGAGGTGCGCGGGCCTGCGCGGGGGCAGGGCGCGGGGGCAGGGCGCAGGGCAGGGCGTGGGGACCCGACAGCCAGCCGGCCGGGGTGCGAGGCATGCTGTGTCGAGGCAGGCTGGCGGCGGGCGGGTGCATGCACATGGGCCCTGACCAGCGCCGCCGCCGACCGCTCACATGACAATCTGCTTGCGCATCATGTCGGCGAAGCACAGCATGGCGTTGTTGGGGTCCTGCCTGCGCACATGGACGAAGCAGAGGGCCACCCCAAGTCAGCAGCGGGTGGAGGGCAGCTGCGAGGTGCTGGCGCGGCTGCCCAAGCTGCCTGCGCACGGCAGAGGGGCAGCCCAGGCTTGCAGGTGGCAGGCACCCCCGGTGCCCTGCCGCACCCCCCCCGCCCCCACCTGAAGAACTCGTCCACGATGCGGGTGTAGGCAATCTCGTGGCGCGACTCGTCGCTGGCGATGGCGCCGCACACCTTGCCCAGCACCTCGTCGCCGTACTCAGCCGCCATGCGCGCCGTGTTGCCGTGGCTCACCTTGGTGGCGCGCTCCTGCGGCGAGGGCGGGGTGGGTGGGTGGGGGCGCTTGGTGCGTGGTGAGCCCCAGACGCGCCGCAGCCAGCCACGCATGTGGCGCCTGGCGGCCACCAAGCAAGCACTGCCGCTGCTGGCTGCGGCGCGTGCAGCCCGGCTCATCGCCCTGTCGCCCCCACCCGCTCCCCTCCCCGCCCACCGGGCCGCGCCTCCCCGCCGCACCTGGAAGGATGTGTAGATGAAGCCCAGGTAGGGGTTGTTCTCGGTCTTGGGGTCCATGCCAGACCCGATGAGGTTCTGGATGGTCACCTCCACCTGGCGCAGGTCCACGCGCCCGCTGCGCCGCGGCGACGCGCAGGCGGGCGGCGGCGCCAGCAGGCAGGTGAGCGGGGCCTGCGGAGCTTGCTGGCACCTGCTGCCCCTGCCAGAGCCACCCACCCTCGGCATGCACTCCCTTGCGGGCCAGGCAGAATGCGTCATCCCACCCGCCCGCACCCACACCAGGGTCAGGCCCCAGGGCCCCCCACCTGAGCCAGCAGTACTTGTTCATCAGGTCGCCGTGCCGGTTCTCCTCCGCCACCCACTGCCGCGTCCAGCGGCCCCAGGGCGTGGGCGCGGCGCCCGTCTCGTCGCGCACGCCGTCCAGAGTGTTGAGCATGGCCATGTAGGTGGGCAGCGCCTCCTCCGTGATCATGTCGCCCACCTGCCGGGGGAGGCAGCAGCCAGGCAGGAAGGGAAGGTCGGGGCAGGGCAGGGCAGGGCAGCACAGCACAGGGCAGGGCATGCAAGTGGAGGTGGGCAGGAGCCTGGTGGATCAGCACGGGTGCGAATGCAGGGAGAGTGCACTCAGCCATGGGGGACGGTGCTGCGGCCCACCAGGCACAAGCAGGCAGGCAGGCAGGCAGGCGTGGCACTCACCAGGCACACAAAGTAGTCGTCTGGGACCTCCTTGGTGCGCTGCTGCAGCTGGTGCACCTGCCAGGGGCGGACGGCGGGGGCACGGCAAGCACACGCTGGGTGGGAGGGCGATGTGCAGCGCAGCACGGTGCTTGGCAGGCGGCAGCCAATCTGGCATGCCGCAGCTTGTGCCGGCCCACGGAAACGACAAACGCTGGTAGCTGCGAAGCAATCTGGCCGACCGCACCCCACTGACCAACTTTCCCGGGCAGGCCCCCGCCCATCCTGCCCCCCCACCCCCCACCCTACCCCCCCGCAGCTGCTGCTGCTCACGTGGTCGAGGAAGTCTGGGGACTCGGGGTGGGGCAGGAAGTCCTGGGCCTGCCAGCACTTCTCCACGGGCTTGAGGATGGGCAGCACATGCTCCTCCGCATACTTGTCCATGCTGGCCACCACATCCAGCTGCTCCTTGGTGGCGCTGTGCAGCACCTGGCCGTTCACGATGGTGGGGCCCTGGCGCGCGGCGGCCTCGGGGGCGGCCACCGCGCGGGGGCGCACCACGGCGGCGGCACGGCGGGGAGCCGCGGTGGAGCGGCTCTGCCGCAGCGCACCGCACGATGCAATGTGCTGGCTGCTAGGCGCCACGTTCACGCCGGCCGACAGCGCCACCATGCTGCAAAGCCTGCAGCAAGGTGTCCACAAGATGTGGAGGACGAAGCTGGCGCCAGCAGCAACAGAGCGGCAGCAACCGGGCGCAGGGCGTAGGCACCCAGCTTGCACGCCTGCCCAGGCCGGTGGCGCCGTGGCGCACTTCCCAGGCGCCTCCCAGCGCCAGAGGGCACGCAGGCACACCGATTCCCTGGCCCCCTGCCAGAATGTTGCCGAACCCCAGAATGCCGGGCGCGGGTGCCAGGCACAGCGGCCCTGCAGCGCAGATGCATGCCCACCTTTGCCTTGACGCTCCTGAAAGTGTCGGGGCTCGGGGAGGGGACTGCTGCACACGAGCGCACCGAGCCAGCAGCGTGCTATCCAGGGAGCTCTCCAGGGGCGATCAAAGGCTGGGCAAGTGCAATTGCGATCAATGTGGGCCGTTCTCTGCGGCGCCAGCCGTAAAGAAAGGTCAGGGCGCGATGCCCAAAAACGGGCTCGCGCCTATGCGGAATAACTCGGCGCCGCGGTTGCTGCATCTGGCTGCGGCAGCTGTATCTCCGTTGATTTGGCTCGCCAGTTGAGACTTGGCTACCGCTCCCCATCAACATTTTCAGGATTGGGGCTCCCGGGCAGCTTTTGCAGCGTCTGAGACTGAATCGGACTTGTTGTTGCCAAATCCACATGCCGTTGGATGCAGCAAGCAACCACCCGGACGGGGCAGGGCGGCGGCAGCAGTGTGGGGCGGCGGCGGTGGCCGCACGAGGAACCTGTTGGCTATTTTTGGCCCACCAAAACGATGTTTTCACGCCTTGATCCTGCCCACCGCCACTGCTGCCTGACATAACTGCTAGTTCACGCTGCCCCTGCTCAACGATTCTGTTGTGGCAGCTAGCAGCAAGCGTTACATGCTCCGCAGCGGTTCTCGCATGCGGCGGTTGTGGCTGCGGCCCTGGGCTTCCTGGGAGCCCCTTTTGAGAAGCCAAGGTTCGGATGTTTGGGTGTGGCAATGAGGATGTTGAAGGGGGCAGTGCAGTAACGATGTTGAAGCGGCCAGTGCAGCAATGATGTTGAAGCGCTCACGCAGATGTCCTGCTGGTGGCAGCGGCCAAGCGGCCAACCTTGTATGCCCTATGGGCGCCCCCGCATGCTGCCCCAACCTTCCAGCTCCCCGCAGGCCTTCCAGCTCACCACAAGGGCCTACAAGCTGCTCCAGGGCATGATAATGCTGCCTGCGGCTGCTGCATGGGCTGATGCAAGGTGTGGAGGAAAGGGCGGAAGACAGGCAGACGGGCCTGAACCAAAGGTTCGTGGGGTGGAGTCTCCCCAGCAAATTATTCTCCTCTTCTCTGTGTGTTCAAGCCATCATCATGCTCTCCCCCCGCCCAACAGCAGTCCTGTGCAGCCTGCTGCTGCTGCTGGCTGTGGCCGGCCAGGCCCAGGCGGCCAGCCGCGCCCGCTTCCTGGGCCAGAAACAGCAGGCCAGCACCCCCTCCAGCGAGCAGAGCGTTGGGGCTCCCGCCGCCGAGGTGCACCAGCAGCCGGCGTGCGACAGCCGGTGTGCAACAGCCGGGCTCAACGCTCAATGCTCGCGGCAAGTTCAATGACTCTTAGCGCTGACACCCCACGCCCTCCGCCTGTAAACCTTGCAGCCCAACGTCACCGCCTTTGACGGCCAACACAGCTTTGGGCTGGGCACTGTGGCCGCTGCTGCCGCCAGCGCTGCCGCCGGTGCGGGCCCCGTGCCCTGGCTGCCGTCTGTCCTGTTCTCGGGCGACGGAACTGCCTTCAGCGAGGCTGTGCCCAACACCGGCAAGGGCTTTGCCTGCTCCTACCGCTACCTCAACGACTGGGCCTCCACCCACTTTGCCGCCATCAACCGCCCCATGGTGCGCGGCCGGGGGCAGGCAGGGGCGCCAGGCTGGAGCAGGAGGTGTGGTGTCGGGCAGGAGCGTACTGCACCGTGCTGCCACAACTGCCAGGATGCGAGGCTGACACCCATGCTTCCCTGCCTTGTGCAGTGGGAGAATGGCGACGCGTGCGCCCGCTGCCTCACGTGCGTGGCCGAGCGCTGCGCCACCCGCAGCAAGCGTGTGCAGGTCATGGTCACGGACCTGTGCCCAGAGTGCAAGCAGGGTGAGGGGGTGCTGCTTGATTGCTCATAGGTTGGCTGCTGGAGCTGTGGCAACCCTCAAGCCGCCCGGGCTGGGAATCCCGGCAGCCAACTTCAGCCCCCACAACCTCCCTTGCCCTGCACCTTGCTCGCCTCCTCTCCACTCTCCTTCTCACCCCCCCTGCCTCTTCACCTCCCCAAAACCTCCCCAAATCCTGCAGGCGACGTCGACTTCTCCATCCCTGTGTACCGCGACATCACCGGCATGTGGCCCCACCGCCTGGCCATCCAGTGGGAGTGGAGCGACTGCTCCTCCAACATCGAGGGAGACATCCACCTGGCGCCCAAGGTGGGTGGCGGGGCGGGAGGGGTGGCGCGGGGCTGCGGGATAGGCTGCTGCCTCGCCTTGCCCTGCCACTCACCGCCTCGCACCGCTCCCTAACACCACATGCGCTGCCCTGTGCAGGACGGCATCAACGCCCAGTGGCAGGCCTTCTACTTCTCCAACGCCAATACCCGCTCAAGTCGGTGACGCTGAATGGCAAGCCACTGGACCGCAACGAGTTCCAGGTGGGGGGTGCAGGGCCCTGTGTGGTGGCAGGATGTAGTTCACAGCAGGGGCAAGCCGAGAGGCTTGGAAGCTTGGCTCAAACGCTCGCTCAGCCTGCCTCCACGCCTGCAGTTCTGGGTGCACGCTGCACCGCTGGCAGACGGCCCGGCGGAGTTTGTGTTTGAGGCGGTCAACGGCAAGAAGGTGCAGGGGCGCTGCGACAATCCGCATAAGGAGCAGAGCCTGCCCAACTTTGAGTGAACCGAGCAAAGACCAGGCAGCTGGCCCTCGCCCATCCCACGTGTCCCCCTCACAACACACACATTCTGCGATTTGATTCCTGCATGTGCCAGCCTAGCGCTCCCTGCAACCTGGTTTCCCCCGTCCACCCTGCCGTCGTACCCCTCCTCGCCCCCCCCGATACTCATATGACTTGCTGCTTCAAGACGGCAAGCATGCGCCCCGGCCTCCTGCCCCCCCGCCAGCGTCATGCATGCCGCTGCGCCTTGCCCACTGCTGATTCATTTCATTCCATTTGACTTGTGCAACAAATATGCTGCATGTGTGGTTGCTACTGAGCAGTGACCGTTCTGTGCACTCAATAGCAAACCGTACTGCTGTTTGTGTTGCTGTTTTGCTTCCTTGATTGTAAACCCTGACGACCTGATTTAAAACAACTTTCTACTACATTTCACTCGCTACCACAATGGACAGATCGGGAAGGCGAGCAAGGGAGGAAGGGCTAGTGTCCCACGACGCCAGTTGCAATGTCGCCATTTCCTTCTTGAAAATAGTGGCAGAAGTGGATGTGTCTAATTGGATGGTATTGCCAGACAAAATGCCTGACTTGGCCAGCCCACGCATGCATGGCACAGCCCTCGCACCAACTCCGCTCTGCCAGCGGGCGCGGGACGGTTGCCGTACCAGCAGCGGCCTTGCACGCCATGTGCTCGGACCCAAGCGATGGCGGGATCGCCCGTTATCCACTGCATTGCTCCAGGCCCTTTCAGACCGCTCTGCAAGCAGACAGCTAGGGCGCCGATTGTGCGGGTGATGAAGTCGACAGCTGCGTTTAGAGGAGGACTTGCGGCCCCACACCGCATCGCGACGGGGCATGCGGCTGCGTGCAGCAGGAGGGCGACCCCTGGGGGCCGGCGGCTGGCGGTGGCGCCACTGGCCGTCACGCCCACGCTGCAGCCGGGCCTGGAGAACCGCAACGCGCCGTCGTGGCTGGCGGAGCCGCTGAAGCATGTGGTGAAGAGCCAGCAGTTCAACAAGGAGGCTCTGGACCACATCTTCAAGGTGACGCGGGAGATGGAGGAGGTCAGGCAGGGCACCGACGCGTCTCGCCAGCTGCAGGGCGCCATCATGTCCACCCTCTTCTACGAGCCCTCCACCCGCACCCGCCTGTCATTTGAGTCCGCCATGGCCCGCCTGGGGGGCACCATCCTCACCACCGAGAGCGCCGCGGAGTTCTCGTCGGCAGCCAAGGGAGAGACGCTGCAAGGTGGGCGGTTTACCGGCGCAGCACACTCGGCGCAGCGCAGCCGTGGGCTCGGGGCAGCGTTTGTTGTCGCAGTAACGCTTGGTCAATGCTTTACTTTCCAACGGTTGGATCACAGCTGCCTCGCCACTCTTGATAGTGCGCTGGCTGCACTTCCTCCCATGCCTGCTCGCCACCTCCCCAGTGCCCATGCAGACACGATCCGCACCGTGGAGGCATATGCCGACGTGGTGGTGCTGCGCCACTTCCAGGCGGGGTCAGCGGAGAAGGCGGCTGCCGCGGCCTCCATCCCCATAATCAATGCAGGCGACGGACCCGGCCAGCATCCCACCCAGGTGCGATCGGAAGGGATGCAGTCGTGGATCTCGGCCGGTTGGGTATTGGGCTGAAGGTGCAGCAGCAGCACCGGCCGCGCCAGCATCTGCTCCGACAGAGCTGTGTCTGGTCTGCCACATCGCCTACCACAAAGAGTTCTCCCACCTTCTTTCCCGGCATCTCTTTACTGTAACATCCACCGCCCCACGCCCGTCCCCGCAGGCGCTGCTGGACGTGTACACCATCCAGCGCGAGATTGGGCGCCTGGAGAACTTCCACATCGGCCTGATCGGCGACCTGGCCAACGGCCGCACCGTGCGCTCCCTGGCCTACGTGCTGTCTATGTACAGCAACGTGAAGATGTACTTTGTGGCTCCCGATGTGGTGGGTGGGGAGGGAGGGAGGGAGGGCGGGGTCTGGTCTGGCGGTTGGCAGAGGGGGATGGTGGGGCGACAGTGTGTAGCATTTGTCCGGATCTGCCGCGACTGCTCCATCTCGCCTTGCTTGGCCCCACTCCTTCTCTGCCTGCCCCTCCCCCCACACGATGCCTGCTGCAGTGCCGCATGAAGGACGACATCAAGGGCTACCTGACCAGCGTGGGGGTGGACTGGGAGGAGGTGGATGACCTGGCCATGGTGGGTGGGGGTGGGTGGGTGGGTTCGGTTATGGGGCTGAAGCGAGCGCATCCTGTGCTGCTGCAGCCTTCCTGCTGTAGGGGGCGCTGCATGTCATGCATACATGCATGCGCTGGTGCCTGATTCAGTCTCCAGTCAGTGCCCTGCTCACGCCACCGCTCCTGCCCTGCCCTGCCCCAGGTTGCTGCTGACGTGAATGTTCTGTACCAGACGCGCATCCAAAAAGAGCGGTTCCAGGACAGGTGGGCGGTAGCGGCAGCGCGAAGCTGCTGGTATACACAATGCTGGGCGGAACAACGTGCAGAGTGGTGGCGGGTCGCTTGCATAGGAGCAGCGGAGCAGCGCTACCGCCAGCCGATCACCGCAGTGTTGCCCTCCCATACCTCATCCATGCTGCCTTCCACTGCGCTGCGCTGCTGCCCTGCTGCCAGGCCCGATGACTACGACAAGGCCAAGGGCAAGTACATCATCAACGGCGAGACCCTGAAGCGCATGAAGCAGGACGCCATCGTGATGCACCCGCTGCCGCGGGTGGATGAGGTGCGTGACCCGCCCAGGCGGGGGTCGGAGCAGGGCTGACGGGAAGTGTGCCCTGCTTTATTGCTGGCGCAGCGTGCACGCTGCTGCGCTGCTCTGGCCTGAGTCTTCTCTGGTGATGCCCTTGCCTCATTTCCCAATGGTGCTCCTGCCTGATGGTGCCCCTGCCTGCCTTCCTGCCTGCCCCCGGCTGCAGATCCACCCCGAGGTCGACTCCGACCCGCGCGCTGCCTACTTCCGCCAGGCCCGCAACGGCCTGTACGTGCGCATGGCCCTGCTGAAGCTGTGCCTGGAGGGGCGCCAGCATGGCCACTAGGCGAGCAGCAGGGCCACCTCGCAACGGACAAGGACCGCAAATGCAGTGACAGTGTACTGTATGTTTGTGCTGTGCCTGAGAATGTTTGGGCGCTATCTTGTGTGTCATCAGCTGAGCGCTTAGTGAGTGATGTCTGTGCGTTACTGTATAAACTCGCATTGGAATGCCACAGTAAAAACAGAAAGAGAATAGAAAAAGGTTGGCGAGGGCTCAACCGCCCAGGCCAGCTGACCCTCACCTGCGCAGGCTAGCACGCCGCAGCCGCCTGCCACCACCCTTTGCCTCTTCATCTTCCTCCGACTTCTGCTCCTTGCCCTCAGCTGCTTTATCTGCACCAGGGTGCCAGCCAGTGGCAGAACAGCGCATGTTGGCTAATGGAGACGAGTGACAAATCTGGGGTGAATTCGCCGCGCTGTTTTGCACACAGCAAAGGCAGGCCGTGGATGCCTGCTGCAGCAGACAGCGGGGCACATCGGCATGCTGGACAGCGGGGCAGCCCAGCTCCACAGCTAGGACCAGTTCATAATGCCTTGCACCTTCTGCTGTAGGTGTGGCTGCAGACGTGGCATCCTTCTTTTGGGCCGCTTCGCCCTTGGTTGCCGGCTTCTCAGCCTCGGCCTCCTTCTTGCCTGCTGCCTCCTTCTTCTCATCAGCAGCTGCCTTCTCCGCCTCCTCCTCCTTCTCACGTGCCGCCTCTGCCTCCTTCCTCTCATAATCCTCATAATCCTCCTCTAAGTCCTCCTCTGCCCCGGCCGTCTTGTCGGGTGCCGCATCCTGCGGCGGCTTGGGCTGCGCCTTGTCGCCTGAAGCTGCATCGCCCTTGCCCTTCTGATCGCTCTCCGGCAACGGCAGTGGCTCCACGCCTGCCTCGGGGTCCGCAACTGCGCCAGCGGGAGCCAGTGGGGCGGGGTATGGCATGCTGTCAAGCCAGCAAGAGAGCCATCATGCAGAGAGGAAGGGCAGCTGCCGGTCTCATGCCACTTCGCACCGCAGGTGGCGTGCAGCTTTTTGGGCCACTCCACCACACAGCGCATGGGCAGCGCCTCTTGCAATCCAAACGAGCTAGCTATCCAGAGGAACATTTTTGCACCCAACGCATACCCAAGCAACCAGGTGCTCCACTCACTTGCGCCGCGGAAGGCGCCCGTGGTCATGGGATGGCCTCGGTAGGTGACCACCAGGGCCACCAGCGCGGCAAACAGGACAGCCAGGCCCGCAACCGCCAGCACCTTCTGCTTGGTGGACCAGCCGCGCGGGGTGGCGGGGGTGGTTGCCTGTACCGACAATGGCTGCAGAGGGGCAGTGCAGGGGAGGAAACAGGGGCGGGTTGCAAGGCAAAACAGGGGTGAAATACGAGGCGGGGCGCCACCACTCCGCCCGCTGCGCCGCTCCCGCCGAGAAACCTGCCGCGCACCTTGACCCGCAGATTGCTCAGCAGGCGCTGCTCCTCGTCATCGTTGATGCCCTGTTTACGAAGCTCGTCCTGAACAAGGGAGAGCGAGGAAGGAGGGCGACCAGAGATGGGGGTCGATCTGGCGCAGCGGCGGCCCTGAGCGGCGCAGTGGAGTCTTCCCAGGCACCAGCGCACCTCTATGAAGCGGGAAAGCTCGCTTGCCATCTGCGCTGCTGCCTTGAGCCTCGAGCTCCCTCAACGGAACAGCTGGCCTGGGTGGTTTACGCGGCAGGACAAGAGATGCTGTGCAATAGGGGTTGGCTTTAATGCGCAGAGCCCAAGCAGGCTGCTAAGCCGGCACCAGTACTGCACCAGTACTGCAACTTGCCTGGTGGCCCAATGCGGGACGAATCCTCGCCGCTCGAGCTGTTTGCTGGCCTTGGGGCACTTTTATCCCGGGGCCCTCCCCAAGCCCCCCACAGACGCCAGCCATCCCGTTTCAAAAACTGGAGCCAGAGCCGTAGCGTGCAGCCATGACGCCCGAGCAGGCGCGGCGCACCATTCAAATCGTTGTGGCGGCCACCAAGCAGTGGGGCATCGGCAAGGGTGAGGGTTCCGCCGGCGGCAAGGCGGGTGGCGGCGTCGGGGTTGTGGTCACGGCTGCAGCAGGGGTGGTGGCCGCCTGCTGCACGCCTGTCGCTCGTATCTCGCAGCCCAGCCAGCCAACTGTTGCCTCCGCTGCCCAACATGCACCTCCTCCCATCTGCCGTGACCTGCTGCGCCCCCGCCCTGCAGGCGGCAGCCTGCCGTGGAGCCTGCCTGGGGACATGAAGTACTTTCGGGAGCTGACCTCGCGTACCGCCGACCCCGCCAAGCAGAACGTGGTCATCATGGGGCGCAAGACCTGGGAGTCCATCCCCGCCAAGTTCAGGCCGCTGGCGGGGCGCATCAACGTGGTGCTCACACGCGGCGCCGTGGCGGGCGACGAAAACGCGAGCGCGCCAGGCAACGCCACCGCCGCGCTTGCAGGTGTGCTGGCGCCCTGCGCGGCGCGCCCGCAGCCCCGGCCATGTGCTGTAATGCTGCTACGTCGCGCCGTTAGCGACTCCTGCTGCACCAGCCGTGCTGCCTCGTCACGTGCCTGCCCAACGCCCCTGCCTGGTGCTGATGGCCCCCGCAGAGGCCAGCAAGGCGGAGGGCGTGCACATCAGCAGCAGCCTGGACAGCGCGCTGGAGATGCTGAGCGGGCCGGAGTTTGATAGCCGTGTGGAGAGCGTGTTTGTCATTGGCGGCGGCCAGGCAAGCAACTCACCGCAGGATGCTGCTGTCAGCCGACATCTTCCCCCGCTCCACCTACCCGCCCCTAGTGTTCTCGCACACATACGCATGGACTGACCCTTGCCAACGTGTGCACCCCCTGCCTCCCGCCCCCCTGGCCCGCAGGTGTACAAGGAGTGCATGGAGTCGCCGCTGCTGTCGGCCATCCACCTGACGCTGGTGGAGGGGGAGGCTGCGGAGGCCGCCAACTGCGACACCTTCATGCCGCCGGTGGACGAGAGCCGGTTCCGGCTGTGGAGCGCGTCGGCGCCGCGCAGCGTGGGCGGCACGCGCTACTCTTTTTTGTGCTACACCCGCGCCGGGCAGGAGGGCCTGCCGGCGCTTCCGCCGACGGTGGCCAGCCGGCACGAGGAGCACCAGGTGAGGGTGGGGTGGGTGGGGCGGCCATGCTGAGGCTCTTGAGCGGAATGGCTAGTGCTGGAGGCCGGTGCATGCTGCCGCAACCTCTTGCTGCAGCAATGCTCTGCATCCACCTGCTTTGCGTGTGTCAGCTGCCCGCCCACCCTCCCCTGCCCCACAGTACCTGGAGATGATTGAGGATGTGATGGCCAACGGCGTGTTCCGCGGCGACCGCACCGGCACCGGCACCTACAGCAAGTTTGGCGCCACCATGCGCTTCAACCTGCGCCACTCCTTCCCCCTGCTCACAACCAAGCGCGTGTTCTGGCGGGGTGAGCGTGGCCGTTTAGGTCGGGTCTCTGCTTGCCCATCCACAGCCCCACACATTTCACCCCTGGCCGCCCAACCCGTGCAGGCGTGGCTGAGGAGCTGCTGTGGTTTGTGAGCGGGTGCACGAATGCGCGGGTGCTGATGGACAAGGGGATCCACATCTGGGATGGAAATGGATCGCGCGAGTACCTGGACTCCATAGGCCTCAGCCACAGGTGGGTCTGTTGTGTAGGCAGGGGCCAAGCCAGGGCGCGGAGAGCCATTGAGGTGGGGGACCCTGGGGCTAGAAGCCACCCTGAGGCTAGAAGGGTGGCTTCGTGCAGGGCTGGTGTAGCTGGGCGTGACTGCCGGCAGGATGACAAAGAGCAGCCTGAACCTGCTCGCTGGCAGGCGCCCTGCTCTGCCCTTTCTACCGCTTGCTCACCCATGCATCCCTCCCCCCCAACATTTGCAGGGAGGAGATGGATTTGGGCCCCGTGTACGGCTTCCAGTGGCGCCACTTTGGGGCTGAGTACACCGACATGCATGCAGACTATGGCGGCAAGGGCGTGGACCAGGTGGGTGGGCAGTATGGGACTGTGTGGCTGGGGCCAAAAGGATTCCGCACCAGGGCATGCCAGGCCATCTCTACCTGCCTGCGGCTCTCGCTGTAACTGCAAACGTTCTGGTGGTGCTGTGGCACACAGCGATGCCAACCCAACCCTTGCCTCCTTTGCTTGCAGCTGGCAGAGCTGATCCACAAGATAAAGACGAACCCAAACGACCGCCGCCTGGTGCTCTCGGCCTGGAACCCGGCTGCGCTCACGGACATGGCGCTGCCGCCCTGCCACATGTTCTGCCAGGTGGGTAAGAGGCAGGCAGGACGTGTGAAGGTACTGCAAAGCAACCAGCGACGTGGCAGCGATCCGTGAGCGAAGCTACCACAGCCAACTGGCTTGGCCAGTCTTGTCTGGACTGAGCAGGGCCATGTCAGCTCTGGGCCGGCCAGGCTGCAGGCTCGTGCGCCACCTTGCTGCTTGTGCATTCCACTCCTGCCCTCTGAAACGCGCCTGCCCGCTTGCTCCTGCGCAGTTTTACGTGGCAGATGGCGAGCTCAGCTGCCAGATGTACCAACGGTCGTGCGACCTGGGCCTGGGCGTGCCCTTCAACATCGCTTCCTACTCATTGCTCACATGCATGGTGGCTCAGGTGCAGCGCACGGGGCGCAGGCCACCACTGCACGCACACTAACAGTGCCGAGCAGCAGCGCCCTGCCTTGCACAACTGCTCTGGGTCGCTTCGCGGGTGGGGATAGATTTGTATCCTCTCCTGTTGCTGCATCACCATGTCGCCTGCCGCCCTGCATTCCGCCCTTGTACCTGCTCTTGTGGCCGCAGGTGTGCGGTCTGCGGCCCGGCGACTTTGTGCACGTCCTGGGTGACGCGCATGTGTATGCCAACCACGTGGGCCCCCTGCGGGACCAGCTGAAAAACGCGCCGCGCCACTTCCCACGCCTGCTCATAAACCCCGCCAAGACCGACATCGACTCATTCGTGTTTGACGACTTCCAGCTGGAGGGCTACCAGCCGCACAAGGCCATCAAGATGCAGATGGCGGTGTGATGCGGCGGCAGAGGGTCAGCGCAGGCCCTCGCAGCCCAGGCGCAGCCAGGTTGCCCCATAGCACGACAGCAGCAGTGCGTAGACAGGGCCAGCAAATGGCACCAGCCGCCCCCAGCTAGACAGCTACTTACACGGTGGCGCTGCTGCCGATCACGCGAGGCAGCGGCAAGCTGGCAGACAGCACAGGTGCACCGCTGTGCAATGCGCACGGTTACCTCGTTTCGCTGCTTGATCGCTATGCATTTTTGTAGTGCCCAAGTGGCGTGTAACCAACAGGCAGACGCTCAGACCATGCAAGCATGCAGCCCGGGAGAAAAATGCTTGGAAAATGGCGCACGTGGAGGACAGGGGGAATGGCTGAGAGAGCAGGCTGCATACCTCACAGCTCTGGACCATGACAGGGCCCTGTCCGGCGGGGACGGCAGCGGCGCTGGGCGGCGGGGGTTGACTCAAGGCACACAGCTCTGGAACAAGCGCCCGGCGCCTGGAGCTGGGAACAGTGAGCCTGCTGGCCGCGTGCAGGCGCCAGCGGCAGCGTTCTGGCGCGGGGGAGGCATCCGGCCCCCCTTGGGGACTTTCGCCAGGGGCCGCAGGAGGGACCCGCCCAGCATCACACACAGTGATGGAGCGCCAACAGACTGCCCAAACCCGTTGGAAACCAGAGTGTTTCATCATGGACTGCCTGGAGCCTCCGTGGCAACATGCCAAGGACTACTCCCAGGGAGGCGCAGTCCGTCCTTTAGCGTTCCAACCAATGGGAGTGGCATAGCGACACTGGCTGTTCACAAGGATAAACGAAGGCCTGGGCGGCCGCTGAGCGCGATGGGCGGCGCCCAGACAGGCGGCCCGAGATGGGCCGCCGTCTTGCTCATACTGGTAGGCGGGTTGCTGCTGGTGCCTTGGGCCGCCCCTGGACGCGGTGCGTGGCTGCATGTGCACGGCCTGGGGGTTCTTGACGGTAATTCGGCCTCCCCGCCGCCCTCCTCGCAGAGCGCTCTGCTGCAGGTTGCGGGCCAGGAGGCGGCGGATGGCACTGTTTCACCCCTCCTGGAGGACAGGTAAAGCTTGCTGCTACATGGACGCTGCATGAGCTGCTCGGTACCTCTGGCCGCGGGAAAAACTGGCCTTAGCCCGCTAATGGGGTTTGGCGCCCTAGTGGGGCGGCCAGGGCCATTCTGGGACCCATGGCCAGCCCCATCGGACCCATGGAGCAGGGCGTACCCCAGTTTGACACGAGCTGCCAGCAGGCCGGTAGTAACCCAAACCCTAAACCCTAAACCGAGCCGGGGCTGCCCTCATTGCATACATAGTGCGCCTTTCCCTGCTTTTCTAGTGACCTAGCGTTCCGCACTGCCATTTGGCCAGCCCATGCTCCCGTACCGTTGCGTTTCTCCCCAATGCGCCATGCCACTTTGCCAGTCATACACACGTTTCGATGCGTGCCCTGTCAGCTGCTTGCGTTGCATGTCGCCTTGCTCCACCCTTGTTTTATTGCTTTCTCTGCTTTCGCCCGGTTCCCGTCCCGTTTCGGCGGGGAGTCTATGTTGCAAGTTAGTTCTTGCTTTACCAGACTTTAAGCCCACACAAGCAAGCAAGTGGGGGCATGAAGTGAAACTGGTTTTTTAGCAGGTTTCGGGCGCTCTCCTGCTGCCGAATGGCGCTGGCTGGCTGCTGCCTGCGCTGCAGGATTGTGGCGGCGGCGCTGGCCGCGTCCAGCGGGACGTCCAGCTGCCCGCGTGTCGCGCTCTTCTTCTCCCTCACCCTGCTGGGCGTCAAGCGCAAGCAGGACTTCACGCCAACCGTGAAGATAGCTTACAAGCAGACCCTGGCCCGCATGGCACCAGGTGCGAAGGTTTTTGATGTGCCACAGCTCGAGTGGCGGCCCGCCGCAGCGCCGCATGTGTCTTCCAGATTTTGAACTGCAAACCAGCACGTGCTATGGCAATCTGCGTTCGATTCGGGTACTCCTATCGGAATGCCAGGGGATCAGGTGTTGCTTTGGCAGCGCACATGGGTTGGCTGGCAGGCCAGGCACCCACCGTGGCGCGCCTGCGCCTGGTGTTGTTCCCGCCTGTGCTCCCATCGCCGCCGTGCCGCCACAACCTGGCGCAGGCGCCACCATCATCCCCGTCGCCATTGATGCCGAGGACCTGGGGCAGGCGATACACACGGTGGCGCTGTTCCCCGGCGCGGTGCCGGCGGGCGTGGTGGCGGCGCAGCAGCTGGCTGCCAAGCTGCGCGCCGGTGGGCTGAACGCACACTTTGACCAGCGCAAGTTTGGGCGGGTGCATCCCGAGGTCATTTCGGAGCCCTACCTGGTGAGGAGCCGAGGCAGCGGCGGGCTGAGTGGGTGGCTGGGCAGGCTGACAGCCAGCTGAGCTACAGGTTGCTTGGTCAGGGTGGCTCCTGCTGGCAGCTGGCCCAGCCCAGTGTCAGTACACCAGCTGCAGCTGTTAGTGGCAATGAAAATGGTGGAGCAGTTCTGTTGGGCCCGCTTTCTGTTGATGCATGTCGGGGCCTCCTTCCCTTACCGACGCGCTCTGCTGCTAAGCTTTGCGCTGATTCAATGGGATTTGCTGTTTGGGCTGCAGGCTGATAGCACGGGCGACACCATCCCGTCGCTGCCAGGCAGCCACCCTGCCGGCATGATCTCAGTGGCGTGGTACGACCTGCGCCCCGACCAGGTCACAGCCGGGAAGCGGCAGGCATATGTGGCGGCCATCCAGAAGCTGCTGCCGGGTGCGCGGGGCAGTGGGACTGCTACGCCCGCGCTGGCTGGCACGCACCGCGTCTTTTAACCACGTCGCAGAATCGTCTCTTTGACTCATATTTTCCCTTGCCACCTGTGCAGGCTCGGTTGTGACCTACAAGACGCACATCGATGACGGCGACTGGACGGGCGCTGGCGGAAATGGTGCGCAGCCGCGCCCCTTCACGATTGGACCTGCCGTCCTGCCTGCCATTCTGTATGCCATGGCAGTTGGGCGCCAGATGGCTGCTGGTGTGCTGCCTCGTTATGCTTGACAGCCGTGCATGGCTGCCGTACCTGCAGCCGCGCTGGAGAAGCTCAGCATGGACACGGTCATTAGCAATGCCTCGCCCGCGGCGCTGGCGAAAGCCCTGAACACAATCAGAACCCGTCCGGCCAGCGTCTGGCCCGTGCCGCAGGCAAGCTGCTTGCTGCCACTGCCTTCACATTACTGGTTCACTGCTGGCACTTCCCTTTGCTGCGCCTGCCACCGCTGTTGCTCTGGTGCCTCTTTCATGCTGCCCCAGCTGTCGCTGCTGGCGCTTGGTGCATGCTGCCTCATTTGTCGCTGCTGGCGCTGGAGCTGCTGGATCGTTGCCACTGCTGCCTTCTAGCATGCGTTGTGCGCATGTTGCATCGCCAGGGGGCCCAACTCGCTGAAGATGGCCGGCCGCCACCCCCTCTTGCTTGCAGTTTGGCCAGATGGCCCCTGAGGACGGCTATGCAGTGCGCTGGGTCCCAGACAGCGATTTTGTGTCGCCCTGTGATGGTGAGCACCAAGGCACCAGTCTGGCAGCTGCAAGAACGCTGTGTAATTGGCAGCCGGGGCTTGCCTGCTGGAATGAATCAACTGCTGCACTGCTGATTCACATTGGCAGGTCGTACGCATGGGGCATGCAAACGGTGCCTGATGGCTGGCTGCCGGCTGTACCGCTCTTTCTCTTGCACTTGCACATGAGCCGCGCCGACGACTGCTCTGTGCAGTGCGCACCGCGCTGAAGCTGACGGGCATTCTGGCTTTCATGCCCAACTGCGACCGCCAGACAACCACGGCGTACCTGGCGGCCATCAAGGCCAGCCTTCCCAGTGAGCTGCTGCCTGCCTGACATGGCCTGTGCTGTCAGGTGCCGCGGTCGCAGCACGTCATATTGTAAGCAATATCAACTGCTGTATTGCTGGTTGCTTGGAGAGCTGGCAGAAGAGCAGCCGTCTGCTCATGCACCATGCAAAGCCACAAGTGCATGCCCTGCTCTGCTCCAGTGAGCACCAGCCATCACGTGCTATAACGTGCTGCATGAGCGCTCACACCCATCTTGGCGTGGCCCTGCCCCAATTGCCGCAGGCGACGTGGCAACCACTGTGGTCAGCGCCACTCGTGTTTCAAGTGGCTGCCAGGTGGTCACCTCCAGCTCCTACCCCGACAGCCGGCACACCCCGGCGCTGACTTTGGCTCGTCGCCTGGTCCCCACGCCGTACCCCCTTGGCGGCAAGACGTTTGGCAGCGGCAGCAGCTACCCCGCCTTCCTGGTGGAGGGCGACGTCAGCACGGGCAAGCAGCATGACGTAGTGACCTCAAAGTTTGTGCTGCTCACCTCTGCCACCGCCACCGGGCCCACCACCGGCAAGGGCTCAGCGGCCCCCATCCCAGGCAACTCGTTTGTCAAGGTGTGCATCTGGCAGCAGCAGATGGAGTGAGGTGGGATGGGAGGCGGGGTGGTGGTGCCACTCAGGATGTCCGAGCGGCAGGGAGGCAGGCAGGGCCTGGGCTGCTAGCGCAGGGTGCAGCAAGTTGTGCCAGGCATGCGGTGACGGTCTATGAATGATGCCAGCACATGCCTCGCTGTTTGGAATCTCTTATGCCGTTGAGATGGTATGCATCCAGCTGCGCATCTCTTGCTGCTGCAGTACGAGTTCAAGCTGCAGCCTGCCAAGTGCCTATTATAGCCTATTATAGCCTATTATAGCCTATTATAGCCAACAGTAGCCCACCCGTCCGCTCACAGAGAGCCATCGCGCCGGCCTCGCGCCGATCACCCCCACACCCCCACCCTCCACACTCACCCACCCACCCATCAGCATGTCAAGCAGCGAGGGAGCCAGCCTTGGGCAGCGCAGCCAGCAGCCGATCAGCAACCCGGCCTCCCGGGCATCCCTGCGGCCCGATTTCCCCCATATCGTGGTCAAGGGGCTCGCTCTGGAGGCCGGTGGGGGCCTGGGGGCCGCAGTCGCAGCCTTCGTTTTGTTTTGCCGGGCCAGCCTTCACCTGCCAGTGCCTGACTGTGTGCCTGTGACCTGCGTTGAGATTCGGGTGCGTGGGGACGGGCGCAGCGAATGCCACCTGCGACTGACTCCTGCCCTGTGCGGCGCCCTGATGGGTGCCCGCCGCCGCCTTTCGTGGGCAGCACCAGAGGTCAGCATTGACCTCTGGCGCTCACCTGGGGAGCTACAATACCTCCATGAGCTGCGCCAGCAGCGCGCGGAGGAGCCCCCAGCGCGCCAGGTGGGGCGGGCTGCGACCTCTCGCTGGTGGCGAGCGGCTCCCCTCCCGCCGCCCTCAGCTGAAGTCGTTGCCGCCCCTGTTGCTGCTGCCCCTGCCCAGCCCACGCCTGCGCCGCCTACACTGCCTGCCGCCGCCGCC